GTAGGTTGAAATACTGTCTTCAAAATCATAAGCTGGAAAATAGGAGTTCTAGAGGGTCACGATTTTAAGAGGAATGAGACGTACAGAATAACTCTACTGAAAAATAAAGGGAAAATCAATGAGAACCACTGAGAGAGGAGAGAAAAATACACGATAAGGAAAAAGAAAACAATACAGAATAAAAGAAAGAGAAATCGAAGGAAAAAGATATAGCAGGGAGAAAGTAAAGGGAAGCATGAAAAATGGCAAAAGTGTCCTTTAGGGAGCAGAGAGAAATTGATGTACCAGTAATGGCTGAAGAGAGGAGTCACTAGATAGGCGTATCTGAGTTATCAGCTTAGTTCCAACTTTCATAGCGCTCCCTAAACGAAAATGATCACTCCCAGAACTCCCGGCGCCCTCGTACCCAACACTCTCCTCTTCTCAGCATCTAGGAATTGCCTTAAACCCAGCTCTAGGACAGACTGACCATCTCCATCAAATATTCATCACTAGAATGGTTATTATTTTCAAAGAGTAACCCGGTAAGAGAGCTCTCAAGGGTACATTTAAAACTGCCACCTCCTTCACCCATCCTTAAAATTAAGACATCAGAATGTTCTTTTTAAAAAAAAAAAAAAAAAAAACAGGCTGGACACAGCGGCTCATGTCTGTAATCCCAGCACTTTGGGAGGCCTAGGCGGATGGATCACAAGGTCAGGTCAATATGGTGAAATCCCGTCTCTACTAAAAATACAAAAATTAGCCGGGCCTGGTGGCGGGCACCTGTAGTCCCAGCTACTCTGGAGGCTGACGCAGGAGAATCACTTGAACCCGGGAGGCAGAGGTTGCAGTGAGCCGAGATTGTGACTGCACTCCAGCCTGGTGACAGAGCGAGACTCAGTCTCAAAAAAAAAAAAAAAAAAATATCATTATGAAGCAGAAACAGAGAGGGAGAAAGAACATTCCTTTAAAAAAAAAAAAAAAGTTAAATATTCCATTTTAAAAAGTTACCTCATAAAATTCTGAGCGTAATCTAAAATTCTGGACTCCCTATGGTACCAAATATGTTTCAGGAGTGACCTCTTTTTCATCACAAAATAAGCCGTTCACTCATGAAACAAAACATACTTGGATGAGCTGTGTATTTATAGAGAGAAGACAAGGCAATGAGCGGGATATGCGTCTCTGCTAAAAAGGGAAAATAAACCAGCCTTTTAAAATATATATACAAAATATGCCTTCTAAAAATGAATGAAGTAGTCTCTAAATAGTTTGGCATTTTAAGTTCAAATGCAGCTACATAAAATTATTATATGATAGCTTCTTTAATGGTATATACCATTTGATTCAAATCCAGTCAATTTAACTGAAACGTAATTCATTAAATTTCATTTAAACAGCATGACTTATGATTGGCTGCCTAATAAATGCAAGATGTTTTTAATTCTGATATACCATGTCTTTCCAAAAATGAAGATGAGGTTAAATACTTGAATTTTCCTAAATGAGGCCAATTCCATGATCCGCTTATTTGATTATTTAATAGTATTGAGGCTCTGCCTCTCATTGTCAACAAAATATAGCCACACCTAGGCTATAGTTAGCTCAGGAGAAAAGGAAGGCCAATTTTATAGAAACTATATGTATGTGTGTATATATATACACACACGTATATATACATATATGTATATATACATGCATACATACACTATATAATATATATTCAATTCAACATATTATATAATTAATATATAATATATAATCATAAGCCAATCATATAATATATATTATCTAAGATAATATATTTTATCTATATATAATGTAGTTACATGTTGAAAATGGAGAATTATCTTTGGGAGATACAGTCAATCTACTCCAGTACATTTTACTCCTTGATTAAGTGAGAGGCTCAGAAAGGTAGAATACTACCAAGTCTCCCCTGGTCCCTTACAGAATTTCTGCATTATCTCAACCGAACTTATGTGAAAACATTTGAACAAAACACAGAAATGGACCGGGCATGATGGCTCATGCCTGTAATCACAGCACTTTGGGAGGCCAAGGTGGGAGGATCACTTAAGCCCAGGAGTTCAACACCAGCCTGAGCCACATGACAAAACCTCATATCTGCAAAAAATTTTAAAAAATTAGCTGGGCATAGTGGTTCACACCTTTAATCCCAGCACTTCGGGAGGCTAAGGTGGAAGGATCACTTCAGCTCAGGTGGTGAAAGCTACAGCGAGCCAAGGTCATGCCACTACACACCAGTCTGGGCGACAGACTTAAACCCTGTCTCAAAAAGAAAAGAAACGAGTTGATACTGTATTGACCTTGCACGGCACAGAATCTTTTCTGTTAAGAACCATTAGAGACACTTCTTTGGGATATGAATTGTGCTTCTCTGAGTGACTGTGTTTTCAATCTCATGGACACTGAGGAAGACATTCACATTCCCCTTTCTGCTTTACAATTACCTTGAAAAATGGCAGATCCTTATGAGATACATTTCACGGGGCTGTCTTAGCTCAGCTTCATTTTATCGTTCCATCCTAAATTCCTTTTAGTTTGATCTATATTCCTTATTCCTTTATGATCCTTTTGTATATTTTACGTATTTATAAGCTGCTCAAATCTTTTTTTGGAACAAAGGTGAATTACAATGTACTCAGCCAGTGCATAACTGCATTTTAAAGGATTTTCACCTGAAAATATCCTGCCATGGTTCTTTGTTTCTTTCTTTTCTTTTATTCCTTGCAGCAGGAAGTCATCTACCATGTTTCTACCAGATCCTCTTCCATATATTTTCTTCTAGGATTTTCTGTGCCTTGATTCTCTTTCTAAAAAGTCAGTTCTCTGTCTCCTCTCAGCCATTCACATTTTCAAAGAAAGGTGAGGGATTTGATTTTCCATAGACGAAACGACAATGATCAAAAGCCCCTATGCACATCTACACACCTGCTCCTGCTCCGGGTTCTCCATGAATTTGAAAACTCAAGTTCATTATTTGATGTTGTTCAAATCTATTGAATGACCTTTGAAACTTGGTATTGAGCCCCGAAATTGGTCCATGAACTGTTTTAGCCCATACAAAACTCTCCCTCAAATCTTGCATTAATATGCTACGTAAATGTTTATTTAGATCTTTTCCAGCAAAAGATTTTCATCATTCACTCAAATATTTAAGTATATACTATGTACCGGAAAGTCTTGAAATTCTGAAAGCTGATGGGGAAGACATGTATCTATATAAACAGAAAAATTCAATACATAAAGCATTCAGAGGACAGAGACAGGAACAGGATGTCATGGGACTCCAGAAAAGAGCCCGCGAGTGGAAAACAGCCATGGATGGGTGGGTGCGTGCTGTGTATAGGCAAGGGAAACTGAGGCAGAGGATAAAGTGAAAATGATAAATAGAAAGGGTTTCTTTCTATCAATGTTTTTGTCACCAACTGGTTTTGGTTTTTTATTTGTTTAATGCCACCAACATGGGAAGCATATGACTTCCTTTTTTCCCAGCCAGTCTTATCCTCCAGGGGTGTTCTGCAGACGTCAAAAGGTCAATGCTAACACCTTAGGCCCATCTGTGGAGGCAATGCCAACTGCAGAGGGAGCTAGGATGAGAGCAAAGGACTGCCAGGAATCTGCAACTCACTGGTGAGAAGAGGCACCAAGACCTCACCATAGCCTCAGCCCTTCCAATTCATACAAAGAAGGGGCAGTTCCTTCACCAACCCATAAAGGAAGAAAAAAACCATCTTTCACAGAAGAGATCGTGAAAAAGTTAAAGTGAGATGCTCCCTATGCAGTTAAAGTGAGATACACGAAAAAGGCAGAAGAGAGAGTACCACAAATCTGAATTAGCTGGACATGTGAATTAGGTAACCAATTTTAAGAGCTGGAAAAAAGGCCGAGCGCAGTGGTTCATGCCTGTAATCCCAGCACTTTGGGAGGCCGATGAGGGGTGAATCACCTGAGGTCAGGAGTTCAAGACCAGCTGGGCGAACATGGTGAAACCCCGTCTCTACAAAAATACAAAAATTAGCCTGGCGTGATGGTGGGCGCCTGTAATCCCAGCCACTCGGGAGGCTGATGCGGGAGAACTCGGGAGACAGTGGTAGCAGTGAGCTGAGATCATGCCACTGCATTCCAGCCTGGACGACAGAGTGACACTCCAAAAACAAACAACAACAACAACAAAATGAGCTGCAAAAAACAACAAACGAAGCAAGCAAAAAAAAAAAAAAAAAAAAGTCCTCCATTTTCTAAGCTAGACCTGCAAGTCTTTCTTCTTCTTCTTCAAAAAATGTCATTGAACTCTTTTACTTTGAATTAAAATAGAAAGGGGTCAGCCAGCACGTGGCTATGGCCTGTAATCCCAGCACTTTGGGAGGCAGAGGGGGGTGGATCACTTGAGTCAGGATTCGAGGGGCAGGCTTAGCTAACAGTGGTGACCTCACGTCTCTACTAACATACGAAAATTAGCCTGGCGCTGGTGGTAAGCCGTATGTACATCCAGTCTACTCGGAGAGGGCCAAGCAAGAGAATCGCTTGAACTCAGGAGGTGGTGGTTGCAAGTGGCTGAGAATGGCCATTGCACTCAGGCCCTGGCGTGACGAGTTAAGACCACAAATTTTTTAAAAAAGGAGGTCAGTGTTATATACCAGTGTTTAACCATAATGTCCACCACATATCACTTATGCTACCTATCAGTTAACTACAAATAGATCATTACTATTAATAATTATATTATCAAACTTTGTGATTGATGTAAAACATGAGACTGTAGGCAAAGTTTACCTATGATATTGACATTCCCACTCTTACAACTGACTGATTAGAAGAGAGTGTGGTATGGCTCTGGGAATGAGGCTGTCTCATGGAAGTGTCTTTCCAAATGAACGTCAGGGAGTCACAACAGAAAAAGTTTAGAAAGACCCATTAGATCACTCTGATGAAAAAATGCTACAATAGATCAACCAGAGAAAAATAAGTCACTAAGTTAAATTACTTCTTACCTCCATCATCCTCTTCAAGAATGCATTTTTAAAAAGGAGACAAGTTATTTCATTAAAAATCACTTGCTCTGGCATTTTGCAAGCTACAATAAATCATGAAGCACACACCAGGTGACAAACTTCCTGGTATCAATTCCAACTTCATCTTTAACCAAAGTAAAATTCAGATGATCACACTCAATTAACTTTGAGTCAAGTGTTCCACCAGTATATATGCCAGCAACATAAAATGTTTTATAATGTTTTATAAAGTGCCCTAAAATTGAAGAATATCATATAAATGTTTCAGTTAAACAAGTTGAGAATGATACAGTAGGGAACAGAAAACAGGAAAATATCACCCAATCAATGATGCAAAACATGGGATATAAACAACTGTTAACAGGACTCTCCACGCAATTGATTAATTCAACTATATCTACCCCTAAGTATTTTTTATCACTAAATGTGATCATAAATAGAGTAGTGTAGAAAATGGGATCAATACTTTTAATTATGTGTTTTCCTTTAAAACTAAAAGTCTCTTTACTTCCTTGATTTTCAGGCGCTATCATGGTAGAGGTCTCTCATCTCTGAAGATCTCTGCTTAAAGGAAGTCTGCCTTGGCCTTTGAGAAACTGCTGTCTGTAAGTGTTATGATAAACTCAGCGTCCTTCCTGGAACAGCATTTCCTACACCTTCTCTCTCACTTGTTCGTTTCAGGGAGTACAGCCCACCCAGTGAATACCACGCAGTGTTTCAAAAGCACTGGACACTTAAAAAGGGAGATTCAAGGTCAAGTGTGGGCCCCCATTTCAGTGCATTGGTGGAAAAAAAAAAGGCACAAATACATCCCTCCAGAGACGGGGATAAAAATGGGAGGCAAGGTTCCCTTTGCAGAACTTTGGGTGGGGGACTGGAATAAAACCTTTTACATTGTTGGTCATTGTTGGTTGAAAGGGATCTCATGAATAAGGCAATGACATGAAACAGTGATAATTATAATAAATAATATTAAATACACTGAGCTAGGCACTGCATTCTGCATTCTAATGCTTCATACAAATGCCTGTAATTCTCAAAACAGCCCTACACAGTACATGCTATGCTCATCACCATTTTACAGATGAGAAAACTGAATACAGTTGTTAGGAAATTTGCCTGAGATTACAAAGCTAATAAGTTGGCAGAGCCCAAGCTTCATGCTTTTAAGTTATGCTCTTCTACTATGCATCCAAAATAAGTTTCTAATGACTATCTTCCTCTCTATGAGTCAATCAGAAAAAAAATCAAAATTCTTAACTCTAATATCTATGTTACCATTTAGGAAAATCTAGTGGAGAAATCTATGAATAGCAATGATGCTCTTCTATTTACTCCTCACTCATGCTTCAGAAATCAATATTTATGCCTGGTCAGTCCACCAGGAGGAAGTTGGGAATTTATTACAACAAAATGAAGAAAAGTCCAGGTGCGGTGGCTCATGCCTGTAATTCCAGTACTTTAGGAGAATGGAGAATCGCTTTAGCCCAGGAGTCTGGATCAGCCTAGGCAACAGAGTGAGACTCTGGCTCTACAAAAAATTTAGCTGGACATGGTAGCGCATGGCTGTGGTCCCAGCTACTTGGGAGGCTGAGTTGGGAGAATTGCTTGAGCCAGGGAAGTCGAGACTGCAGTAACCCATTGCTCCACTGCACTCTAGCCTAGGTGACAGAGCAAGACCTCGTCAAAAAAAAAAAAAAAAGAAGAAGAAAAGGGAGAAAACAACCATATTCCATAAAGCATTGTTCCACAAATATGGTTCTCAATTCTGTATAACAAATATAAAGTGTTTTCTTAAAATCAGCCTAGGGGGTCATCATCCTGCTGAACTCCTCCAAATAAACCTGAGGCTAATCTCACGCTATCTTCCCAGCCAATAACACAAAATACTTTAAGACAACAAAAGGAACAAAGAGAGAAAAGACCCCAAAATAAAAATTTCTTAAAGATTATATCTGAATGCCATGCAATTAAAGATTAAAGATTACTTAAAATTAAGATTTAATAAAATGTAGATCTCTCTATCTTGCCTCTTCCAGTTATCTCTGAAGACAAAGGAAACACTTACCTGTTTCAGCATCCCCGAGCCTGTGTTCTTCATCAGGAGGTTTGGATGGTGGCCCCATGGATGGGACTCGCCTAGGAAACTGCCCTTCTGAATAGTCCAACGAGTGTGTGGGTTGACTAACTGCAGCCCAGGTATAAAGCTGATCTTGCTATATTTAAAAACAAAAAATGGTGAAATGCTATTAATTCGGTTACAAAAAAAGAAGCCATGACTAATATATTGCAAAATCATTTCTATGTATATTACTTATATATGCATATATATATTAAACATTAAAACAGCATTTTATACTACTCAGTGTAGATTCCTAAGATACACATTTTTTTTCATGCAGTCATTTTATCTTTATAACCACATTTGCCTCAACTTCATTTCTATAGTAAAACCTTCGCCTCTTTCTTTGGAGGGAGAGAGGCTATACAGCCCCGCAGGGAATTATAAAATCAGACAGTTCAGACACTCAGTCAGAGAACTCCCTGAACTAGCATCTTTAATTCATCTGAATATGATATCCCTTTTAAAATTGTTTATATACTTGTGGGAATGTTAAAGGACAGGCTGTACTTGGGCACCACAGGACAATAATAGCTCCCGTGCCTTCAACCACAAAAGGCCCAGGAAACCGACTTATCTGGGGTCCAGGTTGGAAACTGTTTGGGAGAGAAACCATGAAAAAGTGAATGAACCTGCCAAGAAAAAAAAAAAAAAAAGAATTGAATAGGGATCTTCTGGCCAAGAAAGACCTCGCCAGCTACAGACCCACAGAATCTGGACAGAATGAGAAAGCAGCTAGTACTATACCTAGGGCCAGGAGACAAACTACAAATCTCACAAGGAAGCCTGCTCCACGGCCTATAAACACCTTGGAAAACTGCTCATTAGGATTTCAGAATAACAGTGTGTCCAGCCATTTTAGGATGCATATGCTTAATATATGCATGCCCTCTATTAGTGACATTTTTCTAGGTGTATTTCCCTAATACCTTTGATCCACGTCAAGTAAAGCAAAGAGAAGAACAGTATGGTAGAAGTGAAAACCAAAAAACCACTGTAATCCCTGGGTCGAGACTACAAAGTAAATGAGTAATCTGATGGATGTTGCTATTTCTGTATTTAACAAATTAAGAAATTCATAAAATAATCTCCAGCATGCTGGAGATACAATGTAGAGACCAGTTAGTTTAAGCTTTACATTTAGGGACAGTCATTAGCCCTAACTGAGAATTCAGATTCCTGGGGTCAGCCAGCTTTGGATCAGAAAGGATCACATTTCAGACCTGGCTAAGCATTTAAGCTACTCATATATCTTCCAGCTATCCCATCCTGACCAACACCAGAAACTGCACTATTTAGCATACTGAATATCAGAAACAGTTTTTTTATTGCTGAAATTAGTGGCTTTAATTAACATAATAAATATTAGGTATGAGCTGTCAGTGGTGAACCTGAAGGAATTCAATGTAAGTAGATTGAGTACGACATCAGAGAACATGCCCACAATTAAAAAGGACAAAACTCAGGCAAGGGCTGATGTCAAGGTGTGACAGCCTGAGAGTGCTGCATCCCCCTCTAGTTTAGGAGGATGTCTCTTTGCCTGTTGCCAGCAGTCGGGCACAGGGTCCTATTCCTTGGTGTTTGTATCACATGGACCTTTCACACAAGGCGAGGTCAAGCACCTACCAGCGTGGCAAGCTGGCCATGCTCTGACTCTCAAGTCAGGTTGTATAGGCTCTTGTGCAAACTAATGTTGTATGTTTAATAAATGTTTATATGTTGGGCAAAACTTCATTTGAGATTTGCTTTCATTAAAACCCAGTAAATCCTTGCCCCATATACAAAAATTCAAAATGGAACAAAGACCAAAACATGCGACCTAAAACTACAAAACTCTTAGACAAAAACATACAGGAAAAACTTCATAACATTGTTTTTGGCAATGAGTTCTTGAATATGACAACAAAAGCACAAGCAACAAAAATTTTTTTAAAAAATCAATGAAGTGAACTATATCATAATTTAAAACTCCTGTGCATCAAAGGACACAATCAGAGTGAAAAGGCAACCTACAGAATGGGAGGAAGTATTTGCAAATCAACTCTGATAAGGATTTAATATCCTGAATATAGAAAGAACTCCCACAAGTCAACACCAAAAAACAAATAACCTGATTTTAAAATGGGCAAAGGGCTTGAATAGACATTGTTTCAAAGGAGATTACACAAAATAGTGAACAAGCACATGAAAAGATGCTCGATATCACTAATCATTATGGAAATACAAATCAAAACTACAATGAGATCACCTCACACCCACCAGGATGGCTATTATTTAAAAAACAAACAACAACAACAACAACAGAAATAAAGTAAAGGACCAGCCTGGGCAACATGGCAAAACCTCATCTCTACAAAAATATAAAAATTAGCCAGGTATAGTGGCACACACCTGTAGTCCTAGCTACTGGGAGGCTAACATAGAAGGATCACTTGAGCCCCAGAAGTTGAAGCTACAGTGAGCCATGATCGCGCCACTACACTCCAGCCCAGCAAAAGAGCAAGGCCCTATCCAAAACAACAACAACAACATGATAGAACATAAGTGCTGGCGAGGATGTGGAGAAATTGAAAGCATTGTGTACTATTAGTGATACGGTAAAATGATACTGTTGCTATGGAAAACATATGGCAGTTCCTCAAAAAATTAAAAATAGAATTACCATATGATCCAGCAATTACACTTCTGGATATGTACGCAACAGAATTTAAAATAGGATCTTAAGGCCGGGCACGGTGGCTCATGCCTGTAATCCCAGCACTTTGGGAGGCCGAGGTGGGTGGATCACAAGGTCAGGAGATCAAGACCATCCTGGCTAACACAGTGAAACCCTGTCTCTACTAAAAATACAAAAAAATTAGCTGGGCGTGGTGGCGGCGCCTGTAGTCCCAACTACTCGGGAGGCTGAGGCAGGAGAATGGCGGGAACCCGGGAGGTAGACCTTGCAGTGAGCCCAGATTGTGCCACTGCACTCTAGCCTGGGCAACAGAGCGAGACTCCGTCTCAAAAAAAAAAATATCTGTACACCTATGTTCATAACAGCATTGTTCACAACAGCCAAAAGGGAAAAGCAACACAAGTGTCCATCCATGAATGAACAGATAAACAAAATGTGACAGATATATATATAAACTGGGAAATTATTTAGCCTTTAAATAGAAGGAAACTCTGATACATGCTACCGCATGGACGAACCTGGAGGACATCTGGCTAAATGAAATAAACCTGATACAAACAGACAAATACTTTATGATTCAACCCATATGAGATAGGTAGTATTGTCACATTCATATTGTCAGAAGGTCAAATGGTGGTTGTCAGGGGTTGGGGAGATGGGGGATGGGAAGTTGTTGCAAAGTAATGGGTACAGAATTTCAGTTTTGCAAGAAGAAAAAATTCTGGAGGTTGATTGTATAACAATGTGAATATACTTAACAATACCGAATTGGACACTTAAAATGGTTAAGGTGGGAAATTAATGTCCTGTGTATTTTGCCACAGTTAAAATTTTTTAAATAATTTTTTTAAAAACAGTGAATTGCAAGGCTGTCGGGAATAGGTAAGACTCACTTATTCAAGAGCAGTGCATGATTAAATTGACAGGTCAGTTCTTAAGAGGTAACACGGATACTGTGATGGCTTAAGAAAACAAATGAACTGTAGCCAGGCATGTGGCTCATGCCTATAACACCAGCACTTTCGGAGGGTGAGTCAGGTAAATTGCTTGAGCCCAGGAGCTCAAGACCAGCCAGGGCAATACAGTGAGACCCCACCTTTACAGAATATTTAAAAATTAAAAAAAAAAAAATAGCCAGGGATGGTGCACACACTTTTATTCCTAGCTACTCAGGAGGCTGAAGTGAAAGGATCACTTGAGCCTGGGAGGTCGAGGCTGCAATGAGCGATGACTGTGCTTCTGTGCTCTAGCCTGGACAACAGAGTGAGACCCTGTCTCAAAAAAAAAAAAAAGAAAGAAAATTTTCTGAAATGTAACGCCCTCTCCACTCTACTCTTCGCCACCCTCCAGTTAGTGGTGATGATACCTGCTTTAGCTACAGTTACTCTACACGGCCCCAGAAAATAACCTATCTTAAATCTTTGCAGCCATTGCCCTCCTAATATTTTCCAGAATAGCAGAACCAAATTGGCCACAACAGCATGCTTCTAAGCCTGAGCTTCGGTTCCTCGTGCACAAAATATGCTATATGTAGCATGCTTAGAAAAATGCTTGGCCTACCAGCTCCCTTGGGAGTTGATGGAGAGAAGCGGGGCTGGAGTGACTGAGAGACTCCAGACCTGGCATCATGGTCAACCACAAAAAGACTTTTTTTCTAGAGAGCCATCATCCTACTAACAGCCTCAGACATAGTTTGTTCCGTATAAAAGAGGGACCACCAACAACCAAGGGGATAAACTATCTCACTGAGTTTCATCATTCACCAAAATACAAAGCATGCTAAAAGCACTCTAGAAAACCTCATATAAACAAACAAAAGCATCCGGTCAGTCCCGCAGTCTCTGAACCACGCCTCAGAACTGTGATATATTACTGGGCTGTAACGGTCATCTCAAAGCCTCTCATTCATCACATAGCTCCACTAGCAGAAAATAAGCAAAACAGACTTCTTTCATGGGTCCTCCACGTCTGCAGAATCAAATCCCAACTCTTCAACTTAAACATCATTTCAACATTCCTATATCCCTACTATCTTCCTTCCCAAATTCATTTCTCATTTCCTAAACCAAGCTTCACGTCACTAGAACGCTCTACCACTCAAGGAGTCTAATCAATCATTTCAAAATCTAGTTGAAGTCCCATTTCACCTGAATCAGACCCTGAAAGGGTCTGCTGAAAGGCCACTCCTGAATCAGACAGCTAACTCAGCACACCTGCCACCCCACATTTCAACACTTGAAGTGTACCATCCAAAACGGTGGCTTGCCACCTAGTCCTGAGTGTATATCACGTTTCCTCGAATTGACTGCAAACTCCTTCAGGATGAGAAGGGTGTACATGGGTCTTGTAAATGTCCCCTAGCTCTGGACAGTGCTATGATGACTACAGAAAAGCCACCTGAGGCTGGGCGTGGTAGC